TGGCGCGTCCCTTGGGACGTTCCGCGGCGCGTCCTCCTGGCATGTCCCCCTGTCCATTAGCTCTGGGCAGCTACTATGTGCTGAGGCCGCTCGAGCTTAAGATCTAGGTCGGTTCGGTCAGGACTCGTGTGCAAAGGAGGACTCGATCCACAACGCTATAGAGCACAATCGCGGCATGGCACGTCGCAGTTCAGCACAGCGCAGCACAGCACAGCCCACGGCACGGTACATCAAGATCGATACACTCAGCATTGCAACTTCGGCACGTTCCGTGGCGCGTCCCGTGGCGAGTCCCCCTGGCACGTCGCGCGGCGCGTCTCCTGGCACGTCCATTGGCACGTCCATTGGCACGTTCCGTAGCGCGTCCCCTCGGCACGTCCCGCGGTGCGTCTTCGTGGCACGTCCCTTGGCACGTCGCCTGGCGCGTCCCTTGGGACGTTCCGCGGCGCGTCCATCTGGCATGTTCCCCTGTCAGTTAGCTCTGAGGCAGCTACTATGTGCTGAGGCAGCTCGAGCTTAAGATCCAGATCAGTTCGGTCAGGATTCGGATGCAAAGGAGGACTCGATCCACAACGCTATAGAGCACAATCGCGGCATGGCACATCGCAGCTCAGCACGGCGCAGCACAGCACAGCTCTCGGCACGGTACATCAACATCGATACATTAAGCATTGCATTTGCCCGTCGCCCAATCAGGTGTCTTTCAAACGTTGCCATGCCTTACATTTCTATATTCCTTTCCGGGTTCGTGGGTCGATCATGTTTCCATGTGTGGATCTCTGGGGAGGTGTGGACGAGGTGTTCGAGTGAGGGCCCGGGCTGGTGCCGCCGCGAGGCGGTACTCCCTCCAAGACATGGTCGACGGAGGGCGCCCTCTTTTCTGAGGCGCGCCGGGCGGCCGCGCCACACACACACACACACACCCGCGCACGCGCACGCGCACGCGCACGCGCACGCGCACGCGCACGCGCACGCGCACGCGCGCACACGCACACACACACACACTCCCACCCACCCACCCACCCACCCACCCACCCACCACAACACACACACACTCACCCACACACCCACACACACACACCACCACACACACACACAACCCACACACACACACCTACACACACACCCACAACACACACACCCAACACAAAACACACACACCCACACACACACACTCCCACCCCATCACCCACCCACCCACTCCCACCCACCCACACACACACACACACACACACCCACACACACACACACACCCGCACACCCCACACATCTCCTCACCCACACACCCACACACACACCCACACACAAACCCACACACACACACAGCACACACACCCACACACCCACCCACCCACCACCACCACCCACACACACACACACACACACACCCACACACACACACACACCCACACACACACACACCCACACCCACACACACACACACACACCGCCGGGCTCTAGACACCGAACGGCGGGGCGGGTCGAGTTATCGCCCACCCCGCACGGCTTTGGGAGCTCCAGCGTGCGGCGAGCTAAAAAAAGAACAGTGCGCCGCGCCGGGCCGCGGCGGGCGCTGAGCTGCAGCCCCCAGGCAGCCGACGATGCGACTGTTCCCACGCACGGCCCCTGACGGGAGGTGCGGACCACTTCCCACGGACCAGTTCTTCGTCCTGGGTCGCTTCTGGACGCCCCCGAGGCCCCGGCGAAGGCCCCCTTGGAGGCCGAAAACGGCTGAAAAAACCGCCTGCTCCGATTTTCTGTCGGAGCGTCGCATCTCGGGGGCCTCGACGCCTTCCTCCTCGGCGGTGCGCAGCTGGCCGCCCAGGAGCCACGTCTGACGGTGGGGCCCGACAATGATGGGCCTGGTTTCCACCACCACCACCACCACCACCACCACCACCACCACCATAAGTTGGAGAGGGAGGGGGTCCTCCTCCTCCTCCTCCTCCTCCTCCTCCTCCTCCTCCTCCTCCTCCTCCTCCTCCTCCTACAGTGGGTACAGTGGGTACATAGAGGCGGAGTCACACGCTGTGCAACTGCACCTGGGGCACTGGCCCAGAAACAATTACAGTCGAGAACAAAACTCCCCCAACGCCGAGCCGCTGACCTGTTGGACGAGATGAATTCGACACGTGGTAGAGGGTAGCCTGCCAGCAAGGAGGGCACGTTCCTCCTCCTCCTCCTCCTCCTCCTCTCCTCCTCTTCCTTCCTCCTCCTCCTCCTCCTCCTCCTCCTCCTCCTCCTTCCCCCCTCTAACTTAGGGTGGTGGTGGTGGTGGAAAACAGGCCCATCAAACAAGGGGCCCCCGGAGGCCGAAACGGCCGCAGGGCCGCGTGCACGCCGCCGGCTGCGCCAAGGGGCCTCGGTGCTGCAGCGGCCGTGCCGTGCGGCCCCGGACTTCGGATCCGCCGCACTCTGGGAGGGCCCAACGCCTCCCAGGAGCCCTCAGAATGCGAAAGGATGGTCCAAAGCGCTCCCAAGCAGCCCAAGTCAGCCTTCCGACGGCTCTCGAGGCTCCCAAGTAACCTCCAAGAGACCCCAAGAGAGGTCCGAGAGGCGTCCCGGGACGGCCCGAAGAATCCAAAATCGTAGATTTCCATTTGTTGTTTTTCAATGTCTCTGACCTAAAACTGTGTCGGAAATGCACCCCAAACGACGCGAAACACCTGCCTGCCTGAGCTGGAACTTCTCGCCTGACTGCAAGTCAGGCGACAGTTTCCACTTCAAACGTGCAGGGCGGATATGTCCGCAGAGGGATGGCGAAAACAGCGGCAGCAAGGTAGGGCGGATATCAACTCGAAAGGAGCTTCAAAAGCAGGGTGGACATTTTCCGCCCTGCTTGCGAGATCGCCCCAAATACGGCGGATCCGAACTCAGGGCGGGGGCCAGCGCCCTTCCCCGCATGCGGGCCTTCGCTGGGGCGCAGACAGGAAATCTGAGCCGCCGCAGCGCTCGAAGGTGGGCGGAGAGGAGTCGCAAAGGCGCGCCGCGGGGGTGGACGGAAAGGAGGAAGGGGAAGGAGGAGGGACAGGGGAAGGGGAGGACGAGGAGGAGGAGGAGGAGGAGGAGGAGGAGGAGGAGGAGAGCGAGGAGGGGAAGGGGAGGGAGGAGGGCGAGGGAGGAGGGGGAGGAGGAAGGGAAGGAGGATGGGAAGGGGAAGGGGTAAGGGGAAGGGGAAGGGGGAAGGGAAGAAGGGGAAGGGGAAGGGAGGAGGAGGAGGAGGAGGAGGAGGAGGAGGAGGAGGAGGAGGAGGAGGAGGAAGAGGAGGACGACGACGAGGAGGAGGAGGAGGAGGAGGAGGAGGCGGAGGAGGAGAGGGGGAAGGAGGTTTTTTGTGCCCCCCTGTGGGCGCCGAGCATGCCAGCTGCAGAGAGTGCACTGTGCACGAGCCTCGCTCCCTCGAACGAGGAAAAAACCAAATCTGCGAGAGCCCAGCTCTCCAGAGCCACCCCCGCGCGTCCTACGCGCGGGTGCTTGCGTCGCTCGAACTGGCTTCGCCGCTCCTTGGCCAGCTTGGCCATCACGGAACCAGGCTGGCGGGCTGGGCAGGGTTCTGCCAGCCCGCTCGGCAGCAGCTGCGCATACTGCGCTCACTGGACACAGTACAGCAGAAAGAAAGTCGCCTTGCTCGGCAGGCGTGCCACTGGGCCCGATGATCGCGCCCCACAGAACGTGCGCGGCTGCGCGCTGCCGCAGCCGTCGCCAGCTCGGGGGCGCCTCGCGCCCGCACTCGGAGGCCATCCCAGCCTTCCAGCTCCGAAAGCCATGCAGGCACCGAGCGCGCCACCAGCGGCCGTCGGCCACCTCGTGCAGCTCGTGCTGGAGAAAGCACGGTCTGACCGCCGACGGAGGAAACGCACGCGGGGGCAGGCGGGCCCACTCCACCTTGGGAGTTGGCCCACTCGCCAGCACCCGCCCCAGGTTCATCAGGCCACGGCGCGCCTCGGCGCACGCGTCCTCCAGGCGCACCTCATCACGGGCATGCCTGGGCCACAGGTGGAGCGCCTGCTTGGCCGCGTCGTCGACCCAAGCGCTGAGGACGACCCGCCACTCACCCTCGCTCTGAGCGGCGGCTGGGACGTCCTGATGGGACTTAATAGTGAGACCCGCGCTATACGCGAGGTCCCCGCGCCTGACTCGGCGCCAGTGCCTGGCGTCAGCCCACGCCGTGGTGCACACGCGCCCGCTCGATCTGGCAGCCAACACTGCCGCGCTGTCGCCTATGCAGGCAGGCGACCCGTCTGAGAATTTAGCCCAAAGGCAGAAGGCCTGGAGCTCAGCCGCGTGAGCAGTAGGAGGGAGCTGAGACGTGAGAGACCCAAGGAGCTTACGAACGACCCTGCCCCCCCCCTCCCGCTGCACCACCGCCCATCCCGCCCTCCGAACCTCCTCGAGGCGGCTAGTGGTGGCCGAGCCATCTCCCGCCAGCGGCTGGTCTGGGCGAAACGCGAATCGATTCAGATCCACGGGCACATCGCCCTCAAAGGCTCGCACGATCATCGTCGATGGCGCGCTGGGGAGGCCCACCTCGGGCCAGACAAACAAAAACGGCGCCTCAGGACAGAAGGGCCCGACATCTTCCTCGCCCTCGCGCAGTCGCTGCAGGAGGGAGGGGGGAGGTGGCGTCACTTTTGCTTGGCCCTCTGCGAAGGCCACGCGCCCTCCGAGGCGGTGCGCCAGCTCGTCGGCCACCCCGCAGCGCCGACGGGCGCCCGCATTCTCGTCGTAGCCGCACTCGACCGTCTTCATCCCCGCGAGGTAGGTGCCACCCATGGCGGAGGTGACGGCCCACTTCTCGAGCTGTGTGGGGTGCTTGGACCCCACTGTGTTGGCCACCACCTCCCACATGTTGGGGAGGTCCTGATCGCTCAGTCCTTCACGGCGCCTGACGCTGTCGGTGGCCTTCTCCCGCACACGGTCGACGACGTCCTTTAGGTAGAAGTACTCCATGCGCTTCGGGGCGTGCTCGAGGGCCGAGATGCGACCGAACCGCGGCGAGACGAAGGTGGTGGCGTTTTCGACCTGCCAGCCCGCAACCGTAGTGGCCTTCAGCGCTGCGCCGAAGGGCCCCGCCTCCGCCGTGCCATCCAGGCTCGGCGGTGGACAAGCCTCCCTTTAGTAAACCACCCCTGTAGTGACAATGGTCCAGGGCCAATACCGACGGACCTGGGCCGGCAAAAATGAAGGTCGCGATGCCCTCTCGCGAACCGAAAACGGCCAATTCGCGAATCGACGTGCCAGGGCAGGAGGTCTATCAAGTCCCGGCAGGTTGTCCTGCAGGGCCTGCTCGAAGACGCGCCTGAACGCACTGATGGGCAGCACCTTGCCGTGGCGGTGGCGCTGGTCGGTTGCCCTCCACCACTCCTACAGATACCTGCCCAGCGGCATGAAGGCTGCCTTGCCCGTTGGGCCCAGCTCGGGGCGGATGGCATCGAAGACGTCGGGCGACATGTGGCCGTGCCCGTAGACCTGCTTGGTGGTGCGCCTGGGCCCCTTCGAGCTCCTGGAGAGTGAAGCCGCTGACCTCACCTCCCCACTTCTTCATGGGCAGAATCCCGGGATGCAGGGTGCGCC